ATATATATATATTTGGCGTGTAATATTCAGCACGTTTGCATTTGAAAATTTTATGTATTCAATCAATTTAAGAAAATAATAAATATAATAAAATAAAATATTCTTCTTGTGCATGTATGCTTATAAAATCTTAAAATTTGAGAGAAAATCAACATTTTTATAACATGATATCTAAAAGCATTCTTTATAGTAAAAGTGCTACTATTGTTTTTTTTTAAACAGAATTTCCTTAACATTTAGCATCTTGCAAAAGCCGTTTTATTTTAAATTTATTATCATTAACATTCATGCTATAAGGGATTATAATCATGAAATTATGTTCTTATATTGCGTTGTCCATTCTATTATTCTTTCTTTAGTAATATTACTCTTCAACAAAATATAATAGATCGATATAATAATTATAAATCATTATTATTACAGTTTTATTACGAATTAGTTATAAATGTTATAATTGTAGTTACATAAATATTTTTCTCATTGTAATCTCGAATTAAACAACCTCAGTCTGATAATAAATAATGATAAATTTAGTAACCAAGCCATCATTTTATTCCGTTTATCGTACTATTATTGTTTTAATTTATTCAACACGAACTTTGCTATAATTACATGTTATCAGCACGATTGTTAAGCGGCACGCAGCCTAAAGTTGGAAAGTGGCACTCCTCTTTTTTTTATTTTTTACAAATAAATACGACTTGCTATCATGATTCGGCAAGCGCCGACCATTTTGCGACTCCAAGGGCAAGTAAATATCTTCATTTTTGATATTCGTGTTGTTGGTGCATTAGCCATTTTCCTGTTCGTGTTGCATTACCATTGACGATAGATCTCATTTGGACTGTTAAATAAGTCTAACAAATCATCCGTTGCAAAAGATTTCAATTCAGATCGATTGTTTAAGTAAGAAACTAATATGCGCAAGAAGCTAATGTATATAAAGCTTTTTCAGAAAAATCTTTTCCTTCGATCAATGCTTCAATTAATGTAACAACTTTTTATTAAATCATTGATATTTCTTCTCTAAATTTGTTTAATTATGACATGTAATTGCATGAGTATTGATTTCATATTTTTCTATTTTTGATGCAATTTATTTTCTAATACAATGAACGACTGATGGATTATACGATTATTCTATACAAAGGATAAAATAGTCATTAATTTATCTATACACGTTATAAGATCAAGGAAAATTATTATATATGAAATTGAAGCTTTTGAAAAAGAAATAATTAAGAATTTTATATATTTTATTTAAGAAACACAAAAATGTATCATTGACAATTCTCTTTTTATTTTAAAATAGAGTTCTATAATAAAATATTACATTATATTTGCATTCATCATTATTATTAAAAATTTTCACAATATATACTAATAAAATTATTATAAAGCAGATCGTTTATTCAGGCATCAAGTCGCCTGTACAAGCCGCCATTCCGTCGGCGAACTCTGCGCCAATGTCGCGAATGGCTGCCTCTAATATGATCGTCTCAAGTTTACTTTAAAATCTTCAAGGATAGAATAATACATGCATAGACAGATATGCAATATGGAACACGGTCACAATGAGATATTGTTTTTACCTGTCGACCTAGATCGACAATAATGATAAAATCAACGATTCCGTGTTCTATTTTAATTTTCAATATTTTACAGAATTTTTTTAAATATACGTTAAATATTAACATTAGCTGTTTAATATGTAATGTAAATTATGTAAAATATTCGTGCAACGGTTATTATAGGAAACAAATTATTACAAGCATGGATACTTCATCAAGACACGACAATGCACTATTGAGTTAGAGAATATTATATGAAACAATAGATATAACATCAAAACTGCTATACTTTTTGATATAATAAAATGATATGTAATACGTACAAATACGATTAATAAGATTAATTTATGTCATTTTCCTCTCATAACAAATTATTTTGAATACTATATACTGTTCCAATTTATAGAACTAACAATACTTGACTATACGTGATTATGTGCTATAGGAATTTAAATTTGTGTACATATGTATTGGTATAGATATATAATGCAGATTAAATGTAAATTATAATCATTATCATCGAACCTGATTAATTACACTTTTTGCCATTGCGGAAAGAAGGCGCAATTTCGAGAGATGCTTGTTACGAAAAATGGCTTGTAATAATCGAGCTTGCGCCGTTTGATCGTTCAGGAACATTTAATCGCACCGTGCCCGCCAAAATGCGCTCCGGCGCATGTTTATCGTTTGTAAGAGTCGCTTGTACCGCGCTTTTTGTAAATTAAACCGCTACTATCGCGCTGTACGTGCATTTCTTGATAAACCTGATGATGCATTCATTAACTTCCAATGGGTGGTACTCTGGCGCAGTGATAAGACCGCTCTCGTCCGAACGTGGTTGATAGTAATATGTGCATTCGCGATAACAAAGTGATGACAAAGACACACATAGCCGTGGCATCGCAGACTCGATTTTGCGAGAAATGAGAATGTCGCGGCAAGAAAAGCATACTATTGCAAGAGAGTAAAAGAGAGGGAGAGGAGAGAGGAAGGTGGGAAAGAGGGAGAGAAATACATTACATTTATGGTGATGGATAATAAAGAGAAACAAACATCTTAATTTTATGAAATATCAAGAATTTTTTGTTTGACAATATCGATATAACTATTTCATTATTTTCTCTTTTATTATTTTCACTTTAAATAATAAAAGAAGAACATTAAAATCAATATAAAAGTTGGTCTTAACTTTTAAATGTTTTTAATGTGAAGATTTCCTTTTTCAAAAGGAATATTTTTTAAATTTGCCTCCTGCAATTTGTATTTTTTGTTTGCAGGGATCTGCGTTTTATGACTTGTTTGTCAAAGTGCAAACCCCCCAAATGCACAGTTTTGTCAAGAATCATCTCCTCTTTGCAACGCTTTCTGCGCATTATTTCTCCACTTTTCTCGCCTTCTTTCGTCACTTCGAGACCGCGTCGTCCATCGAGATTTTTCTTGTTTGATTCGCGGCGACTCGTTCGCCCACAAGGCTATTACCAGGACCTACGGTCGATCCTGATGCACCCACGTTCCTCTTGCACGCAGTCGCGTTCGCCAACACAAGCTCGCGCGCAGTTCGGTTTCCAGGAAGCGAGAAGAGGCACGCCGACGCCGTTGACGATTAGATTGCAGTGGAGGACCTCCACCAATTCCAAAATGGATTCGCAAGGATCGCGAGAAGCGAGAGGATCGCAAGGATCTCTGAACGATGCAAAGAGGATAGGAGGTTTCGAGAGAGCAGCTGCCGCGAGAGCGTCTCTAATTTGCTATATCTCGATTGGCAGAAGCTACGTAGAAGAGAAATGCGTTTTTGGAATAAAAAAAGATGGTATAGTATAATATTAACCGGCAACAACTTAATTGACAGAATTTTAATTATCATTAAGTATTTCACATTTAAAAACTGAACATTTTTAATCATGTAATATCTAGGTTAGCGCATCATAACGAGAACTAGAAACTCGGAATTTTTAATTTTTTATTATTCCAAAATGCAAAGATTTATAAAGTAAAAAAAATCTGACTAAAAAAAAAACAGCTTTGATTTATATACAGATTAAATTTATTACATATAAATTAAACATCAATTTTTGTAAAATTTATAGCTGTTATGCATATTTATAGTATATAGTATGTGCATAATACGTGCATAATATGGAACAGTGCGCGAGACATAAAATTTATTATGTGAAAGAATGCGGTTTTATTTGCTACTATATGTAACACACTGATATCAAATATGTAAATTGTATTAATGTTTAATGCATTGGTTGATTTGTGCAGTCGG